TCCTCTCTCTCCCTCCTCTCTCTCCCTCCTCTCTCTCCCTCCTCTCTCTCCCTCCTCTCTCTCCCTCCTCTCTCTCCCTCCTCTCTCTCCCTCCTCTCTCTCCCTTCTCTTTCCTTCTCTCTCTCTCTCTCTCTCTCTCTCTCTCTCTCTCTCTCTCTCTCATATATATGGTTAGGCATATGTGTCTGGGTGTGTCACAGCATACAAGTGGAGGTCCAGAAATAATCTCCGGTATCCATCCATCTTTACTTTTCACCTTGTTTGAGACCGGCTTTCTTCTTGTTTACCACTGTGTACTCCAGGCTAGTTGGCCTGGGAGCTTCCTGGAGTTTCCTGTCTCCACATCCGATCTCACTCTAGGTTAGTTGGGGTTACAGATACACACTACTATGTCCGGCTTTGTGTGGGTTTGGGGATCTGAACTCTGGTCCTGGTGTTTTCCCAACAAGTGCTTTACTCCTGCTCTAGGTGTGTACCATCACACCCACCTTTCCGTGGGTGCTGGGGATCTGAACTCAGGTCCTTACGCTTGCTTGGCAAGTACTTTTACTGACTGAGCAACTTCCGCAGCTCCACATTTTTATGTGCCTAATTCTGCATGGGGTATGTCTTTTTGTTGTTTATTTATTTTAAAAGATTCATTTTTACTTTATTTTAAATTATTTTTATGTGTTCCAAAGACTCTCTCTCTCTCTGTGTGTAATATTTGGCATTGGATCTCTATATTTGTTCCCATCTGCTGCAGGAGGAAGCCTCTCTGATGATGGCTGAGTAAGGCACTGATCTATGAGTATAGCAAAATATCATTAGGAGTCACTTTATTTTATTTATTTTTTTTTTAAGACCAGTAGTATTTGATTTTACCCAAGGTCTCTGGGCTATTTAGTCTCTGGTTCTTGGTCATCCAAACAATGTCAGGTATGGGTTCCATCTCATGGAGTGGGCCTTAAATCAAGTTAGACATCAGTTAGTTGCTCCCACAAGGTGTGTGCCACCATTACTCTAGCATATTTTGAAGGTAGGATAGATTGTAGATCAAAGTTGTGGTTAGGTTGGTGATTGTGTTTCTCTTTTGGTAGTGTGCTGAGTACCTTCCCATGACAAAGACATTGGAACATGGATGGGGTGAAGGTTCTAGGTAGGCACCAGCTCAACTTCATGTTTGATGATTTTTGTAGGTGTTGTCTTCAGCAATGGGGCCTTGCTGTCAGTTTATGGAGCACAATCTATTGTCTTGGCAACAGCCTAGTTTGTTTGGGAATTTCCATGGGACCCTTTCAGCCAACAACTCAGTTGGATGAAACCCAGACCGGGTACTGGAAGCTTTTTTATTTGGTGACAGGCCAGTTGGAGTTCTGTCCCTCTCATTATTTGTAGACTTCATTAGGATGGCCAATATATATTACAGGGAGTTTTTACTCCACTAGGTTTCCATACTGCCCTTCAAATCTCTTCAGTTATAGTTGTCTCCCTTCAGTCTCTCCCTCAATCTCATCTCCCCTACTCCTACCTGATCCTCACATTCTTGTCCCCCCCACTCCTGCCCACCCATAAAATCTATTGTTTCCTTCTCCCAGGGAGATCCATGTGTCTCCCCCCACCACACACACACACTCCCAGTTCCTTCCTCTATACATAACCTCTCTGAGTCTATGGATTGCAGCTTGGTTATCATTTATTTAATGGCTAATATCCAGATATAAGTAAATGCATACCATATTTATCTTTCTGGCTACCTCACTCAGGATGATTTTTTTGTAGTTTCATCCATCTCCCTGCAGTTTCCATGATATCATTTTTTAAAAGAGCTGAGTAATACTTCATTGTATAAATATACCACATTTTCTTAATCCATTTACTTGTTGAAGGACATCTATGTTGTTTCCAATTTCTGGCTATTATGAATAGAGCAGCGGTGAACATGGTTGAGCAAGTGTCTCTGTGGTAGGATCAAGGATGTATGCTCAAGAGTGGTATAGCTGGATTTTGAGGTAGATTGACTCCCATATTCCTGAGGAACTGCCACACTGATTTCTGTACAAGTTTGCAGTCCCATCAATAGTGGATAAATATTTCCCTTATTCCACACTTCACCAGCATAAGCTGTCAATTGTTTTATTGATCTTAGTTGTCCTGACAGGTGTAAGATGAAATCTTTTTTCTCCCCAAGACAGGGTTTCTCTGTGGAGTTTTGGAGCCTGTCTTGGAACTCACTTTGTAGACAAGGCTGACCTCAAACTCACAGAGATCTGCCTGCCTCTGCCTCCCGAGTGCTGGTATTAAAGGCGTGTGCCACCGCCGCCATCACCACCCAGCTGAAATCTTAAAGTAGTTTTGATTTGCATTTGCCCGGTGACTAAAGATGTTGAACATTTCTTTGAGAGTTTCTCAGCCATCTGAAATTCCTTTTTAGAATTCTCTATTTAGATCTGCACCCCAATTTTTAAAAATTTGGTTATTCTCTTGATATCTAGTTTGTAAAATTCTTTATATATTTAGGATACCAGCCCTATATCAGACACGGAGTTGGTGAACCTCTTTTCCCATTTTGTAGACTGCTTCTTTGTCTGAATGGTGGTGTCCTTTGCTGCACTGGAGCCTTTCAGTTTCATGAGGCCCCAATTATTAATTGCTGTCCGTACTGCTCATGCTAATGGTGTTCTGTTCAGAAAGCCTTTTCCTGTGCCAGTGAGTTCAAGCCCATTCCCCACTTTCTCTATCAGGTTCAGTATACCTGGTTTTATGTTGGGTCTTTGATCTACTTGAAGTTGAGCTTTGTGCAGGGCGATAAAAATGAATCTATTTCCATTCTACACTATGTAGCCATCCAATTTGACCAACACTATTTGTTGAAGATGTTCTCTTTTCCAGTGTATATTTCTGGCTTCTTTATAAAAAAAATCAAGTGTCCATAGGTGTGTGAGTTTATTTCTGGGTCTTAAATTCAATTCTATTTATCAATGAAAGGTAACAGAAACACTCTTAACCACTGAGCCATCTCTTCAGACCCAGAATATGTCTTTTATTTCTGGTCACCTTCAAGGTGCTTCTTTTATCCTTAACTTGTGTAATTTTATATAATATATCCTAGTCAATACAGGGATGGGCTTTGGGCTTTTTTCAAGAGGTGGTGGGTAGCATGTAGGTTTATGCATGCTGCCATAGACCTGAGTTAAGAAACATCATATTATGCCCTGCATGACTCTAACAAAGGCCTTGGTCTCAAAGTTGCCCTTATTCAAACTGGTTTGCTAAGCAACAGCAGGTAGATGCATGTGAGACTTTCCTGGCTTTATCCAGCCCTTATCTTCAGATGGCACTAAGTAGTTCAAAGCTGAGGTCACTGTAACCAATACTCTCTTTCTCTCTCTCTTTTTAAATAAAGGAGCTTAGATTCAGTGAGGAACAACAGAAGGATCAACAGCCTACTGAGAAACCCAAGGCAGAAGATGGTCACTCATCTGTAGCTGGTTCAGAGAAGAGTAAAACGGAGAAGAACCAGATTAACTTTGGGAAAAGTCATATAACCAAGAGATTGGAGCCGAGCCTAAACTGGAGAACAACTGTTGATTACAAAGAGTATGTAGTCATTTACCTGAGTTTTCTGGTGCATCTTTAATTGCTACATACATATTTGCCTAATTTTCCTTGGAATGGTATATCTTGTTAGAAAATGTGGAGTGTGTATTTCCCTGCTTTTCCTGTTTAATTCCTTTTCCTTCTTTGTATATCCTAAGTGGAAAGATGTAGCACTAAGAGTTCTTGTGTTCCAACTTCTGTGAAGGAAGAAGAAAAAACACAGGTCACTTTTGTGTAGTAGGTGAGCAAGAACAAGCGGTATGAGAAAAGGAAATTATGCTAAAATACATGGAGAAATCACATGGGCCATAGAAACGTAGTAGTAAAGAGAATTTTACATGAAGTTCACCAGGAAAATTTTTGTAGCAACAATATAAGCAGAACTTTAATACTATAAGAAGGATGGCATCTCAACAATGTTAACAGACCTCTGTAACATGGACACTGGGATACTGTCTTAGTTAGGGTTGCTATTGCTGTGATGAAACACCATGACCAAAAGGAACTTAGGGAGGAAAGAGTTTATTTTGCTCACAGTTTCTTGTAACAATTCATCATCAAAAGCAGTAAGGGCAGGAACTCATACAGGGCAGGAACCTGGAGGCAGGAGCTGATGCAGAAGCCATGGAGGGATGCTGCTTACTGGCTTGCTCCTTATGACTTGCATAGCCTGCTTTCTTATAGAACCCAGGGTTGCCAGTCCAGGGGTAGCCCCACCCACAATGGGCTGGGCCCTCCCTCATCAATCACTAATTTAAAAATACCCCCCACAGGCTTGCCTGCCTACAGCTAGATCTTATGGAAACATTTTCTCAATTGACGTTCCCTCCTCTCTGATGACTCTAGGTTGTGTCAAGTTGCCATAAAATAATCCAGTACCCATACTAAACATATGAAATATAGTTAGTAAAGATTATGAATTATAGCCAGACCATGATGGCGCATACTTTTAATCCCAGCACTTAAAGGCAGGCAGAGGCAGGAGGATCTCTATATTACCACACCAGCCTGGTCTACAGAGCTAGTTCTAGGACAGCCAAGGCTACACAAAGAAACCCTGTCTTGAAAAACAAACACAAAACAAAACAACAACAAAAATTTAAAAAAGGAAGAAAAAGAATTACTGTTATTCAAAGGCTGGGAAGGTGGCTCAGCCAATAAAGTATTGGCCTTGCAAGCATGGAAACTTGAGTTCAATCCCCAGAACACCAAACAAACAAACAAACAAACAAACAGACAGACCCAGAGCAGACACAGTGGTGTGTGAGTGTAATTCCGCTGCTGAGGAAACAGAGTTGGATGGATCCCTGGAGCTTGCTGGCCAGTTGCCTTAGTCTACTTGGTGTATTCCAGGCCAGTAAGAGACCCTGTTTCAAATAAAAGGTGACAGTGCTTGAGAAACAGCATATCCAGGCTTGTCCCCTGGCCCCCAATTGCATGTACATTCATGTTCACATGCACATATGAACTATGCATGCATATGTAGATGCATTCGCCCCGCCCCCACCCCCACACTCACTCATTGTGTGTGAGTGTTATTGATACTCAAATTCTGGGGCTGTCAGAAGTTAATAAAGGAAATTCCTCATGTTTCTGTTACTCTAACAAAATGTCCATGTTTATTTAACTTACAAAGAGAAATGGTTGATGATGGCTCATGGTTTTAGAAATTTCAGTTCAGAATCTATACACGATTTTTGGGGAGGGAATCTGGTAGGTGTGGTGGTATTGTGTTCCCCAAAATATTGTGCACCCTAATAAACTTTTCTGGGGTCAGAGACAGAACAGCCACTAGATACAAAGGCTAGAAAATGGTGACACTCACACCTTTAATCCTAGCACTCCAGAGGCAGAAATTCCTCTGGATCTCTGTGAGTTCAAGGCCACATTGGAAACGGCCAGGCATGATGACACACGCCTTTAATCCCAGAAAGCAAGCCTTTAATCCCAGGGAGTGGTAGTAGAAAGCAGAAAGGTATATAAGGCGTGAGGACCAGAAACTAGAAGCATTTGGCTGGTTAAGCTTTTAGGTTTTGAGCAGCACAGTTCAGCTGAGATTCGTTCTGGATGAGGACTCAGAGGCTTCCAGAGGAAATAGGACCAGCTGAGGAACTGGCGATGTGAGGTAGCTGTGGCTTGTTCTGCTTCTCTGACCTTCCAGCATTTACCCCAATACCTGGCTCAGGTTTGATTTAATTAATAAGACCTTTTAAGATTCATGCTACAGGTAGGTGTGCTAGATGTCCACAGTGAAGAACACATGGGAGAGTATGTGCCTACCTTGTGGCCAGGAAACAGACCAACAGAGTGGCCGGATTCTGATGAGGTCGCACCCCAGTGACCTAGAGGCCTCTCATTAGGTCCTCCTCCTAAAGATTTCATGTATCAGTGTCTCAGATCAATTTTCTTCCTCTTTCTTTCATCCTTCCTTCCTTCCCTCCCCCTTCCTTTTTATCCCCTCCCTTTTTCTTTCTTTTAACAGAGTCTCCTGCTGTACCCTGGGTTGGCTTCTAACCTGTGGCCATCCTCCTACTTCAGCCTCCTGTGGCCATGAGACATATGACTGGCTGGCTGATGTCAAACTTTTATGGGTGTTCAGAGGCTACTGGTGATCCCAGTTAGACCGAGCAGTTCACACACTTTAGCCTGTAGATTACAAATGCCAGGCTATATTTACGACCACGGGTCCCGTTTACACTTAGAGTCAATGTGACATGGTTGGTTTAAGAACGGCTCCTGTTGGTCACACAAGGACCCTTCCTTTTCTGGGATTCCGAGGATCAGGGGTGTGGTTTGTTCCAGCATTAAATGCAGAGAATCTCCAGGAGGAAGGCTCTGTGGGAAGAGAAGAGGTCCCCACTTTCCTGATTTTCACTGACTTCATTACACTTGACCTCTGTGACTATACAGAAAGACTCCGTGAAAAACGTGTGTGAGTCTCTATTGATGGGGATATGGATTTTAATTATGAATTTCTGTAATAAGTATTTAATGAGAGCTGAGTATGTGCTAAGGACCATGCTAAGCCTAGAAATTCCTGAAAATCCAGGTGAGCTTCTGTCGCATGATTGGCCAGCAATGGTGAGAAGCTATAGCCCCTGTGACTGAGAGTGTAAGCACTCCAAGGGGAGGGTTAGGATGATGTATTCACTCAGCCATGGCAGCCTGTGAAAACCCTGCTACTAGTTCCTAGTGCATAGCACATTGCTTATTTTATTGTTTTAAGATGGAGTCTGAAGCCCAGGCTAGCTGTGAACTTGGTCTCTGGAATGCTGGCATTTCAAGTGTGCACCACCACAGCCAACATAACCAAACTGCACACAGCATTTCTTCAATATATAAATCACGTGTCTGTGCTTGGAGAACAAACAGACACCTGTAAGTGTGAGGCATGAAATGTGTTAATGAATGTCAGGAAAAGTGCATTGTTTGGGTTCATGAAAGTGCTGGGGCCATCCATATGTTCTCCCATCTTTTATGTCCTATTCACATACTAAAGCTCTATTTTGTTATTTATTTGTTTAGCCACAAGAGCTCTGTAAAGGATAGCCAAGAGGAAAAACAAGGAAAAATTGAAAGGTCATCGATATCTATTTCCTCAGGCCGAGCACTTCGGTATGTTTCGGTTGGTATGGCCATGTCCTTACAGTCACCCACACAGAATGGCAAATTGCCGTGCTGGTTATAGACCTCCTCAGTACTGTACAAGGGCCCCAGTGTACTTACCATGTTGATGGTTATTAATGATATCAGTAAAAGTGAGAGTGCTGGATTGCTTAAAATATATTCCAGGATATACTTCAATTGTAGTTACATAGATCACAGAGAGTGCTCACTACTTACTGACTCTAAAGTAAGAGATACATCTAAGGCCAACTATGAACATTGGGTGTAATTTTCAGTTTAACAAAGAAACAGAATAATGATAAGGATGGGCCATTTGTGTTGGGGGATTTCAGAGGTGTGGCAGGAAGAAGGGGAGAGTCTCATAGAAACATTGGCATACTTGGGTAAAACAGTCCTTAAGACCCTGCACTGTGTTGATGCCAGCTTTACTTTTTGGTTCACTATAATAAATTTATTCAGTGTGCTGAAGAACTTTTAAGGTTCTTTATTTTGAAATAATTATAGACTCCTAGGAAAGTGCAAAGTTGATCTACGGAGTATCCTCAGCCCAGCTTCCTCTAGTGATAACACAGTACAGTCACAACACCAGGACATGAACATTGCTTCATTGTGTATTTCGTCTACCCATGCAATTTACCCCATCCTATAATGATAAGAACAGATACTACACTTGATCTTAGCCAAAAGGCCGAGAAGCAATAACTCCATCCTATAATGAACACAGCAATCAGAACACAGAACTTCACCAGCATGTGGAGCTCCCTAGTGTTACCCCATTACAGTCACATATACTCTCTCATTTCCAACTCCAGCCAACTGTTCATCTGTTTTCCAGGGTACTATCTAGTATTTAAGGTCCCAGTGCCATTTCAAACATTGTTTTCTGTTCATCTCTACTGTTTCCACCCTTTCTCTTCTTTTCTGTGGATTATTTAAGCATTTTGATTTGTCTGTGGTCTTTTTGGATGCATCTCTTCCTATAGCTCTTCATTACCTTTACTCTAAATGGTGTGTGTGTGTGTAAACTGAATACATTTGCCAGTCTTGGCTTTTAGCAGATGTGTAGAAACCGTGCCTTCTTTCTGAGGCTCACAGGCTGTTGATATCATCTGCTGCTCATATGCCAGTTGCTATATTATTGTTACAGCCCTGCTCATGCTGTAGCTTACACTGTGGACTTGTTGCTGTTCTTAGTAAGAGTGGCGAGAAGGTTGAGGAGGCTGCCAGTGAGAGCTCCTCAGAGAGTGAGGAGGATGAGGAGCCTCCGGATCACCGCCAAGAAGCCAATGCTGACCTGCCATCGGAGTACTGGCAGATTCAGAAGCTGGTGAAATATTTAAAGGTAAGAAAAACTTTCCATGCTATGTTTACAGTATTCAGTGGAAATCCATTTCTAAACACATGTGTCCTCCTTCTGAGTTCCTGACGTGTCTTAATTAAGAGTGGGGGCACTGTGGTTGTTCTTTGAGCATACACAGGAGAAGGTCTTACCATTCTGAGGAGTCAAGCTTAGACCTCAGGAAGCTTGACCGGACTGGCGCCAGTTCTCTCTCCTGGTGAATGTTGGAGG